CACAGTTTGTTCTTGACAAAACCATGCTGACTGTTACTATCTTCTAAATGTTTGCAAATTGATTGCTTAATTATTTGCTCCATTATTTTTCTGGGTACAGAAGTTAAGCTGACTGGTCTGTAATTCCCTGGGTTGTCCTTATTTCCCTTTTTATAGATGGGCACTATATTTGCCCTTTTCCAGTCTTCCGGAATCTCTCCCATCTTCCATGACTTTTCAAAGATAATTGCTAATGGCTCAGATATCTCCTCAGTCAGCTCCTTGTGTATTCTAGGATGCAGTTCATCAGGCCCTGGTGACTTGACCACATCTAACTTGTCTAAGTAATGTTTAACTTGTTCTTTTCCTATTTTAGCCTCTGAGCCTACCTCATTTTCACTGACATTCACTATATTAGACATCCAACCACTACCACCCTTCTTGGTGAAAACCAAAACAAAGATATCACTAAACACCTCTGCCATTTCCACATTTTCTGTTATTATTTTTCCCCCTCAATTGAGTAATGGGCCTACCCTGTCCTTGGTCTGCCTCTTGCTTCTAATGTATTTGTAGAATGTTTTCTTGTTACCCTTTAAGAGGTCTCTAACTAGTTTGATCTTGTTTTGTGCCTTGGCCTTTCTAATTTTCTCCTACATACTTGTGTTATTTGTTTATATTCATCCTTTGTAATTTTGGTTGGACTCTTTTTTATTTTTAGATCATTAAGAACTGGTTAAGCCAGGGTGGTCTCTTGCCATACTTCCTATCTTTCCTATGCAGTGGGATTGTTTGCTCTTGTGCCCTTAATAATGTCTCTTTGAAAAACTGCCAACTGACTTCAGTTGTTTTTCTCCTTAGACTTGCTTCTCAGGGGATCTTACCTATCAACTCCCTGAGTTTGCTAAAGTCTGCCTTCTTGAAATCCATTGTCTTTATTTTGCTGTTCTCCCTCCTGCCATTCCTTAGAATCATGAACTCTTATCATTTCATGATCACTTTCGCCTAAGCTGCCTTCCACTTTCAAATTCTCAACCAGTTCCTCCCTATGTGTCAAAAACAAATCTAGAACAGCCTCTCCCCTAGTAGCTTTCTTCTGCTTCTGAAATAAAATATTGTCTTGGAACTAACAGCAGCTTCTGTCCTCACCAGGGCTGGTGTACGGGTTAGAGGAAGTCTCTTCCTGGGGCCTGTATGTAACTTCCTCTTTGCTCCTGCCTGAGTACTCACCAGAGAAATGGCCCCCTCTTGATGGTGCAGATGTGATCTCTTCCACTTCAGTCTGCACAGCACAGGGAAAGCACTCTCCTGGCAGTGGGAGGACTACATGTACTTTGCCCCTCTGGGTTGAGGGGCAAGTTCTTCAAATGTTACCTAGGACTTTCTGTGTGGGTGCTGGGGGAGAAAGGGACCCACTGGCAATCCTTCTGGGATCTGGCTTCACATTCTGGCTTGCCTCTCACAATGAACCTGTTCTGGAAACCATACAGGGTCCAATTTAAGGCTAGTTTTTGCCCTGCCCTTATGTGAACATACAAGAGAAAGTAAGACTTGTCTACTCTCAAATGGCCAATGAAAGGGCTACCTAGAATTGCAGCCCCTGTGCTGAGGGAAGTGCAAGGGCTATTGCAAAGACAATTTCCCCACAAACCTCAGGGAGAAACTCAGCAGAGCAGGGATAGGGAGAAAGTGGAGCCATGCTTCCCTACTCCCTGCATGAACCAGCAAGTAGAGCCAGCACTGCAGGGCAAAGATGCTGCACCTCTTAACAGGGAGCAGTACATTAGTGTTGTCAGAGCTTCCTCTGAGGTGGTGCACTTGGGCGGCGGGTGAACCCCAGGCTCAGAGAGGCTAGTGCCCGGCTTAGACCATCCTTTCTGCCTGAGGGCCCACCCCTCCTGCCAGAGCCCAGAGTCCCCCCTCTCCCGGCGCAGCAGCCATCCCCCCTGCACACACCCCAGGCCTACCGAGCACCCCCAGACCTGGAGCGCCAAGCAGGTGAGCAAGCACCATCAGCCCCAGAGCACCGGATGGGTGAGCGGCTGGCACAGCCTCCCCCCATCCCCAGAGCACCAAGAGGGCAGGCAGCATGGCCCTACCCTAGCACACTGGGCGAGTGGCGCAGCCTCCCTCCCCCACCTCCAGAGAGCAGGCTGGGGCCCTGGCGGGGAAGAGCCCCCCGCAGCACAGCCCGGGAAGCAGGAAGGAGTCTGGGGGTGGAGCGTGGGCAGGGCCACACAAGGCTGTTTGGGGGGACACAGCCTCCCCATGCCTTCAGTACCTGCTGCCCATGGTGGTACAGCTCCATGTGGCACCTACTGTGTATAAGGCCTGCTCTAGAGCTTACTGAAGACAATGGAAGTTTTTCTGTTGACTTCAGTGGACTTTGGATCAGGCCCATAATGTGTATTGGCCCCGCTTCAGCAAAAATCCTAGCATTCAATGAATCTACTCCTGTTCTTAAAGTTAGGTACATGCCTAATTAGTGAATCTGGACCATACTGCACAAGCTAGCCCTTAAGATGATTTTCCAGCACCATTATCTAATTGTAAGTGATCCTACCTCTCCACTTACCAAGGCCCAAATACGTGACAAAGACCAAAATGAGGGACACAAAAATATTATTCATGCTGGACACTTAAAATGCTATGTGATTAGTGTAATCAACTCTTCTTCTAACCTCCTTTTCATTTCTAATGTAAGTGATCTTCAGCAATAAAAGTGAGGGGACAACAAATTTGTCATTTGAGAGGTATGGAAGTGAGGCTGGAAGGTGAATGGAGGTTTTGCTCAATGCAAAACTTCCTGAAGCATCAGAATGTAGGAGCAGATTCTGCATATATCCTTCATAAATTGCCATTCTTTTCATAAATAAAAATTTGAACAGTAGCTTTTCCTGGTGAACTTAATAAACACAGATATGAAAAAATATTTAAATCAGGCTAAATACTCAGCAAAAGGGATTGAATGTCTTATCTATCAAAAGAAACTAAAAGAGTCTTGTTGTAATAGCAGATGTACAGTATAATAAAGTTCATAAGTGGGCCAAAGAAAACTTTTCTCATGATTTCATGACTTTATATGGTAATTCTCTCTTCTGGGCATCAGCCAACACACTTAAGTGAATCTTGAACTCTTCATGTAAGGACAGGCTCAAGTGTTGCCTAAAATAAATTTATTTAGAAACTAGCTCAATCTTCCCTTACAAGAGCAATGACCAGTGACCATTCAACAATGAATCACTTGGTTCTACTTCACTTTTTCACCCGACTGAATGTTAAAAACACTGAAAGGCAAAATACAGAAGTCGTCATATCAGATATGATACATAGTTCCTAGTTTTACTGAGAGGCACTTTTGCCCACAGCACAAAAATTCCCCTCTCAGTCCATGGGATTATTCTACAAGAGCTAACTAAGCATTGTTTTTCACAGAACGATTACTTACCTGAGTAAAGGTCCTAGGTATGAACCTTTAGATGGTAAGATCGTGAGACTTTCTTTATATAGTATTATATAGTATTCATGCTGCTTCATTGTGTGGAGGGAGAAGTCACAATAATTAATATTACACAAGAACTTTTAGTCTAACATCCTATAGTTTTCAATATTTCAATAACTTTCTCCTCTGAGGTTGAAATTTCCTGATTTGGGGCCAGACTTTCTGCTGTGCCCAGTTTCTGTTGAGTGCAGCAGAGTGAGGGGGTGTTAGTGAGCTGGTTATGGTTCCCTGATTCTCTGGTTCAGCTTTGTCCCTTGCCCAGGTTAGAGCAGCCTGGGGGCTGCTCTATCTAGTGTTAGCTGATAATGACCTTGGAATTTCTCTGATTTATATGAGGAACCAGATCATGCCCCTGATAGTCCAAGATTGGCAGAACACAAAGCGGTGGACTTCCATCTTTTACCTATCATCCCTTTCTCAATTGTGCCAAAGCACAGCTCAGGCCCAGGAGTCTTTCTATTAACTTCAGTCAGAGTAGAACTGGGCCCTAAGGCCTCCCTCCTGCAGTTATACATACTTAACTTTATGCATGTGAGTAGTCCCACTGTGAAACACAGAAGTACCCTGTGCAATAAATCCATTGTTTTCTGTAGAATTCCATGGAGTGCAAATGAGGCCAGAATGTGGCTCCGTAGACCAGATAAAACGGCTTTTGCCCAGCTCTGCTCTCATTTACACTACTGCTACCTCACTGAAATCCACAAGGCTGCACCTGCGTAACTGAGTATGGATCCTTACTCTTTCATATAAGCATCTGGTTTTTTCACATGCATACCAGAGGATAGTTCTAGCCCCTTTATTTTATAATCCATTATAGACATTGGCTCATCAGAGCCCACCAGATTTGAAGTAAAAAAACATTGAGATGCCCCATAACCTTCCTACGTATAGAAGGGGTCAGATTCTGATCTCAAATCTGGAAACACCTCACTAACTTCAGTAAATTTATTCTGGATTTTCAATAACTTCAAGGTAACTGACATCAGAATTTGGGCCAGAAAACTTAAACAGAAACTTTTACAGTGGCGGGTATCACAAAGTATGTAGTTTTAAGTGATTTCACTCACATGGCACTAACACTCATTTAGTCACGTCCTCCACAGTCCATCAATACATGCAGAGTATCAAGCCAGAAGAGTGTTGCAATGTGTGTTAATGGCACGAAGGAAATTTTGGGAAGCTGAGATTGTACACTAAGCATATTTATTGACTGACGTTAAGAAAGCTAACTTCCCTGTGCCCCTGTGGTTTTAGCACCTGAATCCCATGAACGGGGAGATAAAGAAAGTTGGCTGCCTGCTCTGTCAGTGTGACATCAGCTGTGCTGTCAACAAAAAGATTTAGTTAATGTTTCTTCATTTACATTTTGGAATAAAGACACCCTAGAATTGTTACCAAAAATAACAAAACCACAGAGGAAGCCTAAAAATGACTCAAGCAATCTATTACCACACGTGGCAGTAAGGGCCTATATATAAGCATTATAGCTGTGATCATTAGACACAGAAGACCTAAGATTTTCTCTTTTTAGCAGAGATCATTTGATAACACTATGAGATACATCCTACTCTGTGCTGCACTGTTCCTGCCTGGAAGTCTTGCTCTCCCGGTTCCGCTTAAGACAGTGCCACCGAGCTCCAAAGACCTGAAGCGTTTACAGGTATGTCATGAGTGGGGCTGTAAGGGTGAACTGTGAATATGCTGCATTTCCATTTTAAGTTTACATCCTAATTATTCGCAAAAAGAAAAGGAGTACTTGTGGCACCTTAGAGACTAACAAATTTATTTGAACATAAACTTTCGTGAGCTACAGCTGAATGCATCCGATGAAGTGAACTGTAGCTCATGAAAACTTATGCTCAAATAAATTTGTTAGTCTCTAAGGTGCCACAAGTACTCCTTTTCTTTTTCCAAATACAGACTAACACGGCTGCTACTCTGAATCCTAATTATAATATTTCTTTCCAGAGAGCATGTGACATCATTTTATTTTTACCTTGGTGTTATGTAGTTGTTACAAGTCAGTTCACAAAAACTAGAAGGCATAAAGTAAAAATTTTGAAAGCCCCTAAGTGAAATTGCAAAAGTGAATTAGGGCCAAGTATTAAAGATATTTAGGTATCTAAAGATACGGACAGTCATCTAGTGGGACTTTCAAAGGAGCTTACAATAATTATATATATATAAATTCTAAGAAAATGAAGTCTCTAAAACCAATGGGCCAAATTAAGGATTAATTTGATGTACGTGTGGGTGTGTATTATACATATATATAATATTTCAGAAAGATAAAAATATTTTAATAATAATGGACTAAACTATTTTAGATGCATCTTACTATAGTTGTATCCAGTGCTCACATTTCTTTGAGAAGAGGCAAGACTAATTATATACACCACACTGGTTGGATTATTCTCTAGATTCTAATGCCCAGTGAACTCCCATTAAAATAAACAGGACCACTTGCTTCAGTGTCTTGCTATTATTGGGCAAGGCTTCCTCTGTGTATTTAATCTGTATTATGGAGAGATGAAAGGCTGTTTCAGAGCACTTGAAAGTGGTAGACTGAAGTGTGAAAAAAAGATGTTATAATTATCCATGATTAGAGTATAAAGTAACACCACCACCACAAATAAAATGTTGGGGGAGTTTTAGGATAGGTGATTTCAATTTATTGTGGAGTAAAATTTATGCTAAAAAATATCCTTGAGGAGTCCACAGTTCTCACAAACCCTCTCCTTCTGGTAAGACCCATCATATAAAAAGGTACAGGATGATTTCACAGTAATGTTTATTAAAAATTGTCACAATGAATGATGATTTATTATTATTTTTTATTAAGTACAAACAATATGATCCTTTGATCCTACCGTCCACCTCCTCTTACTCTTATCTATTTTCAAGCCAAAAATACTGCTTGGTTCCCGATAATTTTCTGGGAAGTCCATATATCCCAGGTCAAGTGTATAGTGCTTTTTTTTTTAATTAAAACTCTCCCTCTTTGCACATTAATGATTGATCATCTAATTGTTCCTTTTTAAGAAGTTCATTGAGAACCTAGTTGCAAGTGACATCTTATGATGTTCATTTGTAAGGAATCATAAGCCCTGCATTTGAGTAACTGCTTGTGCATGAACCTTTCCAGGCATAAGAACCTAGGCATGCATTTCTCATTTACACCTTTTTACACCCATGCCTTTTTACACCACTTTGTAATGTAAAGGGATCTGAAAATGGGTATAAATTTACACTCATTTTAATGTCCCTTTACACTGCCAGTCTGGTATTATGAAAGGTCCTTAGTGTAAATGAGAATCAGACCCCCTGGACATTTACAAGTAATACCATAACCGATAGCCGCACAGAACCCCTTCGTGTATTTCATAAGAGAAACCAGAATAGAGCCCTGAAGCATACAGATGTGAAGTAAGATGAAGTAAGTACACAATTCTCAAAGGAGAAAGGTAGTGAATATTTTAACATCAATCTACATTTTTATTTTGTTCACATATATTGGAAAAGTGCCCTCATATCCGTCTAAATTGTTTCCCTGTTATGACAGATCACAGTGGGTTTCTCTGGGTGCAGTAGTATAAGTATACCCAAGGATCATCTGGGTCTTATACTGGTTGACAAGTTGATTCTTAAAGGTATAAGAAAAACACAACTGGAGATACACCCTGAGTCTAATGTTTCTTTTTATTTTCAGAATTACCTTGACAGGTTCTTTCCATCCATTAATAAAGCAGGTGGCCGTACCTTAGAAGAGAAAATTAAAGAGATGCAGAAATTTTTCCACCTGACTGTAACAGGAAAATTTAATTCAGAAACGGAGGAAATGATGGATCAGCCAAGGTGTGGCATCCCCGATGTATTAGATTACAGCACATTTCCAGGAAATCCAAGATGGAGGAAGAATTTGTTGACTTACAGGTTGGTTATATTTCACTTTTTGTGTATTTTGTTCTTTTAATGATGCCATATTATTCCATACTTTAAAATGACAATATTTTATTTTCTTGTGTTGCCAAAAGGATCCTTAACTATACACCTGATCTGCCTCGTTTTATGGTGGAGAAAGCAATACAAAAGGCTTTTAAGGTGTGGAGTGATGTGACTCCACTGAAGTTTCAAAAAGTTGCCGGGAGAGAAGCAGATATCCTGATTCGTTTTGCACATGGTGGTGAGGCTGCTGCTGGATTTTTAAGAATCCATGAATTACATTTTATTTAAAGCTATGCTTTGAAAGCTTACACATTTTCGTAGCCAAAGATTGAAGAGTGAACATTTTCATTCTCAGTTTATCCAATTTTTATCTTGTTCTGTGAGATAAAATATATGGTCAGTATAGCAGCCTCTCAAGGGAGGCATTGATTTTATATATAACATTGATAACAAATATAAATATTTATATTATATTTGCTATCAATATTATTTTATATTATATTGGTATCAATGTTAACTGACCAACCATCACAAAAATCCCTTGGGAATTTGAACTGTAAAATGAGGAAAATAATATCTTCTTATTTGATTGTAAACATACTCCTCTGCCATGAACATTACTCCTATTTGTGAGCAAGCAAGGATTCTGCATGCCTGTGTGGGGTTTAGACATCTTGGTCACATGCCTCATTGTAAAACAGAAACATAGATTTTTTGCCTTTTTAGAGCCAAACACAAATACAGCAAGGCTTCTTTCCACTGTAGTCCAAAGCAAAGGCACAGGGTGTGGTGTGTTTTGGCCATGCCCAAGGCACAGGTCTAAAGAGTGTCTCACTTCCAAGAAGTCTGAAAGAGGAAGAACGAATGCACACCCACACAAACACACACGCACCCTGGTTCCCATCTCAGTGCTAATTCTCCTCTTAGGCCTTGTCTACACTAGGTACTTGCTTTGGTATAGCTATGTCCCTCAGTGGTGTGAGAGGCAGCTATTCTGACCATTGTAGACCAGTGTTAGGAGAATTCTCCGATTGACCTAGCTACCGCTAGAGCCCTGTGTGGATACAAATTTATATCTGTGGATATAAATCGGGCATCTGCGGAACCGCATGGCTCTCCCAGGAACCGCAGCGGTGAAAGGAGCAGAACGTGGGGCTGCTGTTCCCAGGAGCCAGCGCCCCACACCGGCAGCTCCTCCAGCGTGGCTGTACCACCCCCAGCCCTGCCTCTGTCCCTTCCACGCCGCTCTCTGCGTCTCCTGTCTCGGGGAGGAGGGGAGGGTGCCACTTGAACACAAGAGTGCAACCAGCTGCTGGTGTCCACCCCAGTGGGCGAGGCAGGGGCAGTAGAGCCATAACAGAGGCCCCATGTTCTGCTCCTTTCGCCACTGCAGTTCCCGGGAGAGCCCTGCCCTTCCGCGGATACCGATTTGTATCCGCAAATAGCCGCATCAGCAGATATAAATTTGTACCATGCAGAGCTCTTGCTACTGCCTCTTGGGGAGGCAAAGTACCTACGCTGATGGGAGAACCTCTTCCATCGGCATTGGTCGCGTCTCCACTGAAGCTCTACAGTGGCACAGCTGCAGCATTCTAAGTGTAGCCAACCCCTTAGAGATTCATCCCCAAACATCCAGTAACACAGTAATCTTACAGTGTCTTCCGGGTGATGAATTTTTCACAACTATCCTGAAAATCCTTGCACTCCCGCAAGAAATTGTAGCCCTTCTTATAGGCAGAGGAGGAGAGTCAACCTTTTCCAGCCAACCTCTGGATAAGGGTCTGGACATCCCACACACTGTTACAGGAGAATCTAACAAAAGATACACCAAACCAGTGTACCAAGCGAGATGCTCAGTTTTTCAAAGCTGTGGTTACTGATATCATTCACTTCATGTATTACAAGTGGTGCAGATGGCATTATCTATAATTATCATTGCCCGAAACTGTCCATTATAGGACCTTCAGATGCTTATAACTTTGCAAAACTTAAACCATTCAGACATTTTTTTGCTGGGTGTCAGCCTCAGGCTGAACTTTTTTGTAAAGTTTCGATAAGCTGATTCAGCCATTTCTGAGGACATGTCCTCAATAACACAGAGGTCCTGTGGGGAAAAAATAGTATACAATCATGTAATTAAAAACGGTACCATAATGTACACACAGGAGCTGAATTCATTGCACAGGCAATCTTAAGTATGGCATTTCCTACCTTTTGAGTGCTTGACTTTGCAACCTTAACATTGTTTTAGAGTAATTTATAATGTAATGTAATCTACAATTAATAAAAGCAAACTCTAAACTTCAAGATGTAGAATTCAATGTTTAAAATGCATCATTCTGCCAATTGACGACATATTCATTTCTTTTCACACGCAGCACATGGCGACTCATTCCCCTTTGATGGAAGAGGGGGAATACTGGCCCATGCATTTGCACCTGGCTCAGGGTTAGGAGGAGATGCTCACTTTGATGAGAGTGAGAAGTGGTCACAAGATCATATAGGTAAAGTATTCCATGTACCATCACAACAATTTCAGCTCCTTCTAAACAAAACGCTGATCTTTGCAACATACTTATATTTACCTACCATAATAGGCATATAGGGCCTGAGGAGCTCAAAGCACTTTACAAAGGTGGGCAAGCAATATTATCCTCTTTTTGTAGATGAGGCACAGAAGGTTTAAGTGATTTGCTCATGATCAAAAGGTGAGCCCAAAACAATTGCCAAAAGGTGAGTCGGAAACAGATTTCAGGTTTCCTGACTCCCTTTCCTGGGCTCTGCAATATTCTTCCTAAAACATGTGGACATACATATTGTAATTAAATGGGAGAGCAGGTAAAAATAAATTAAACTTATTGGATTTCATCACAGTGGAAAGAAAGATGCGAATTGCCCTGCTTGTGATGCTCTATTCCATTATATGTTAACTATTTTTTCCTTTTTTCTATATTTTAGGAACAAATTTGTTCCTTGTTGCTGCACATGAATTTGGTCATTCTTTGGGACTGGGTCATTCAAATGTTCAAGGTGCTCTGATGTATCCTATCTATCGCTATTGGGACCCAAACACCTTCAGCCTTCCAGCTGATGACAGACAAGGAATTCAGAAATTATATGGTAATTTCAGTGTGAGATGTTAATTTTGATATAAAAAATTACCAACAAAGGGACAGATTTTGCCACACTTTACACTGAGAAGTACCTTACTCAGCAAACAGCCCACTGATTTGAATGGCCTACTCTCAGCGTAAGGTACTATTCAATGTAAGGGTATCAAAATTTAGACCAAGACAACATAATTCACTTTATACCTCCCACCTACCCTTTCTGGAGTCTGAGAGCAATGGAGTCTCCATATTGCAACAAAAGCTAATGGAGTTGGAGATCCTGGCAGACTATGGGTTCCCTACACACCAGTGCCTTGCAGAAATCAATGAGGATGACATTCTGCTAACCTTCTACTACTGAGTAGTACCTTGCTTTGCCAAACAGGCCATTGAAGTCAGTAGGACTACTTGCTGAATGAAAGATTGCTCAATGTAAGTATGGCAGAATCTGGCCCTCACTTCACTGCTCATGGAGTCAGGTACTACTCACTGTGTGTTACAGTGGCAAAACTGTGCCCTAAACCAATGAGCAAATCTTGCCTGCAGCACCTGTGTGTGGACATTCCCTTCTATGGAATACTTCACAAAGGGACACCGATCGTGGTACATATTTCTCTGTATTTTGTCTCTTAAACAAATACCTTAATGTTTCCATATTTCTATTCCACAGGCCGCAAACGTGAAAACTTCTAAAGAACCCTGGTGTGTTTAAAAAGAATGAAGAACTCACACCAGAAATGTTTCGTTTTATTTCTTCCGTGAATTAAAATGGCAAATGTTTGAAGGGCAATTTCTGCTCCGTTACATTTCCTGAGATTTGAAAACCTCTTTAAATTTATTCAGTAGTTTCTGTGAAAATAAAAATTCTCTCAGCACTATTCTGCCATCCTACATTCTGTCCTAAACTCAGGTGGGCTGCATTTCACTGATGGGTTCAGTGACTCCTGTATGTACAATACATATACACAGGACAAAATTCTCAGTTTGGTGCTTGAAGTGCATCTAACTCCATAGTTTAGGCTCCTTGTTCCCAGCCCACTCCCTTCTTCCGCTCCCTGCCCTGTACATACCCAGACTCAGAGTACCCTCCAAAGGGCCCCGCAGAAGGATGTAAGATGATGCAGTGTACACAATCAATCCCCGCTTCAGCACCAGAAGGGTTGGATCCCCACACAGAGGGTCTCTCCCTCCACCCCCAAATCCCATGGAGATCTGAGAGGCAAGTTCTGTTTAGGCACTTAGGGGATATGGCCTCATTCACTGCAGAACTTGAATGCTTCTCAAGTATTTAAATATGGAGATCAAAATTATGGTACCCCACTCACTCCATTTTTATCTCCTCCTTACTCAGTCAGGCTCCTGTGGAAGTCAGGACAAGATAAAAAAAGAGTAAAGGCCTCAGGAAATAGCCTATGGCAGCAATCCCAAATGTTTGAAAGCTGAGTCACCCTTCAGGAAAAGGAAAGTAATCACACATTGTAACACAGAGACTGGGTCATAGGCAGTCAGGCCTAGTGGTCAGAGCAGGAGTCAGTCCTAGTTAGAGTCCAAATGCCAGAGCCCACGGTGGAGTCAGAGCCAGGGATCAGAGCCAAAGGTCAGAACTGAAGGTAGAGTCCAAATGCCATTGCCAAGGGTTGAGTCAGAACCAGAACCAGGACTGAGCATCAGAACCAGATTCAATGGAGTCAGGGAAGGCAGGAGCAGGGTACCAAGGCAGGAGCAAGATTGGGACAAGACAGGAACAAGGCGCAGGGCAGGGTCTAGCCTGGAGCGAGGCTGGGTGCAGGATAGGGTCTAGGTTGGAGCAGTTCCAAAGCAAGTCAGGAGCATGGCTTGGAGTGAGGTGAGCATAGGGAGGAACAGAATTTGTGGGCATGTACATTGATCCTCTGCAGCTGCTGGACTTAAAAGCAAGCCACCTGACTGCTTTAGCCAATCAGGTGGTTCTGCTGTGCTCATTGGCTGCCTGGTGACTGGGCAGGCACAGCTGCAGGTCCTGACTTCTAACAGGCCCATTGGTGCCAGCTGGCAACGGTTTCACTACTGTATGTTATCAACTCCTATCAGGCCTGACAAGCTCACTACAACTAAGATGCTGCTTTCATGTCCCACAAGGGACATGTGACATGTCTAGTAAAAGCTTACGTCATACCGATCCTCCTAATTCTTGTGAGATGTATGTACGGATGAAATTTAAGGCGTTACGTATATGTACTGAAAATATGTCTTAGAGACTGTGGCCCAGGCAGGGTTGTCAAACAGGTGTTGCCACACAAAGGGATGTGGATTCACCTATCTGCTTAAGTTCACATGTAAAAGAAGCTTTGTAAGCCCACACAATGGAAGACTCCACATGCAAAACAGACAACAGGAGTAAGTGAAGATAGTTTGGAGCCAGCACTCAAGGAAAGACTCCACAAGGGTCACCCTGACTCTGAGGACAAAATCAATGGAGGCAAAAATCACCTTGTTTATCCTCCCCTGCATGCAAAAAGCCTTTTTCCTTCCTCATGAAAGTTGGATTCCAGGCATGTTGGTTAATGATGCTGGGAGATTGCTTTAGATGAGAAACTGCTGTAATCATGGATTTTAGCCTGTTGTTAAATTTAGACTCTAAGAAGCATGTTATGATTTTCATTTTATATGTAACCAGTTCTGTTTCCATTATCCTGACTCAGTATCTCTTAAAGGTTAAATCTTAACCTTTGATAACAAATTTAGGATTATTTCACTATACATATATCTCAAAAAAGGGAAGAAGGAGGATCCTGGGAACTACAGGCCAGTCAGCCTCACTTCAGTCCCCGGAAAAATCATGGAGCAGGTCCTCAAAGAATCAATCCTGATGCACTTGCATGAGAGGAAAGTGATCAGGAACAGCCAGCATGGATTCACCAAGGGAAGGTCATGCCTGACTAATCTAATCGCCTTTTATGATGAGATTACTGGTTCTGTGGATGAAGGGAAAGCAGTGGATGTATTGTTTCTTGACTTTAGCAAAGCTTTTGACACGGTCTCCTACAGTATTCTTGTCAGCAAGTTAAGGAAGTATGGGCTGGATGAATGCACTATAAGGTGGGTAGAAAGCTGGCTAGATTGTTGGGCTCAACGGGTAGTGATCAATGGCTCCATGTCTAGTTGGCAGCCGGTATCTAGTGGAGTGCCCCAAGGGTCGGTCCTGGGGCCGGTTTTGTTCAATATCTTCATAAATGATCTGGAGGATGGTGTGGATTGCACTCTCAGCAAATTTGCGGATGATACTAAACTGGGAGGAGTGGTAGATACGCTGGAGGGGGAGGGATAGGATACAGAAGGACCTAGACAAATTGGAGGATTGGGCCAAAAGAAATCTGATGAGGTTCAATAAGGATAAGTGCAGGGTCCTGCACTTAGGATGGAAGAATCCAATGCACCGCTACAGACTAGGGACCAAATGGCTAGGCAGCAGTTCTGCGGAAAAGGACCTAGGGGTGACAGTGGACGAGAAGCTGGATATGAGTCAGCAGTGTGCCCTTGTTGCCAAGAAGGCCAATGGCATTTTGGGATGTATAAGTAGGGGCATAGCGAGCAGATCGAGGGACGTGATCGTTCCCCTCTATTCAACATTGGTGAGGCCTCATCTGGAGTACTATGTCCAGTTTGGGGCCCCACACTACAAGAAGGATGTGGATAAATTGGAGAGAGTCCAGCAAAGGGCAACAAAAATGATTAGGGGTCTAGAACACATGACTTATGAGGAGAGGCTGAGGGATCTGGGATTGTTTAGCCTGCAGAAAAGAATGAGGGGGGATTTGATAGCTGCTTTCAACTACCTGAAAGGGGGTTCCAAAGAGGATGGCTCTAGACTGTTCTCAATGATAGCAGATGACAGAACGAGGAGTAATGGTCTCAAGTTGCAGTGGGGGAGGTTTAGATTGGATATTAGGAAAAACTTTTTCACTAAGAGGGTGGTGAAACACTGGAATGCATTACCTAGGGAGGTGGTAGAATCTCCTTCCTTAGAGGTTTTTAAGGTCAGGCTTGACAAAGCCCTGGCTGGGATGATTTAACTGGGAATTGGTCCTGCTTCGAGCAGGGGGTTGGACTAGATGACCTTCAGGGGTCCCTTCCAACCCTGATATTCTATGATTCTCAGTGCTGTGATGTTATAAAAGATCTGATCCCAAGCTGTACCAATCAAGCCGTTTGGATTCTGTTCCCTTGGGGACAGCTAACCTGGTAATTTCTGTGAGTGTCCTGTGACAGGAACCTGCTGCTACAGGGGGACACTTTCAGCGGGACTTGGGGGCTGTGGTGCACCTACTGTTACCATACAAGGCAAAGCAAGGGCTAGCAGAGCCCTAAGGAAACTGATAGGATGGCTAACAGACTGGTGGTGTTAGGGAGCAGATATCTAGCCAAGCATGAGAAAATCTTCCTCTTGCTGGATGGGTAAAAAGGTGACTCAGAGCCCTGGCACCCCAAGAAAGCTACACACATACCTCTGTAATCTCCTTTCCCTCCTCCAGGTGCCTCTTTATCTTAGCCAAACCCTCATATGGCCAAACCCTCAAATATGTTCAAATATGTTAAGGACTGTTATAAAGAGGACCCTGATCAACTGTTCTCCATGTGCACTGAAAGTAGGAGAAGTAGGAATCAGCTTAATCTGCAGGAAGGGAGATTTAGGTTAGATATTAGGAAAAACTTTCTAACTAACTATAAAGATTGTTAAACTCTGGAATAGGCTTCAAAGGGAGGTTGTGGAATCCCCATCATTGGAGGGTTTTTTTAAGAACCCATTAGACAAAAAGCTGCCATAGATGGTCTCAGTATAGTGCTGGACTAGATGATCGTTCTAGGTCTTTTCCAGCCCTACATTTCTATGATTCTCTAAACTGTGGAGTTTAACTGGTGAGCCTCACAATGAATTGACCCTCCAGCCTTCACCCAGGTCTAGTCCAATGTGAATTATGAGCTGGTCCTTGATACGGAGAAGTCACAAGACCAGTGAGCACAGCAGGACATACCCTATCAGAGATATCCAATGACAGTCATTCTCTTGTAGTGCAGTGTGGGAAGCTAGGAAATCCAATGGTTCCTCTCTGATAAAGTCTTGCAGTGCACAAACAGGGACTTGGCTTAGAAAAGCAGAGATGCCTTCCCTCACTATTACAGGCACCTATTCCATTAAATTAGGCTTGAATAAAGACTGGGAGTGGATGGGACATTACACAAAGTAAAACTATTTCCCCATGCTAATTTTTCCCCTATTCGCAAAAAGAAAAGGAGTACTTGTGGCACCTTAGAGACTAACCAATTTATTTGAGCATAAGCTTTCGTGAGCTACAGCTTATGCTCAAATAAATTGGTTAGTCTCTAAGGTGCCACAAGTACTCCTTTTCTTTTTGCAAATACAGACTAACACGGCTGTTACTCTGAAACCTATCTTTTCCCCTATTGTTACTCACACCTTCTTGTGAACTGTTTGAAATAGGCCATCCTGATTATCACTACAAAAGTTTTTTTTCCTCCTGCTGATAATAGCCCACCTTAATTAATTAGTCTTGTTACAGTTGGTATGGCAACACCCATTTTTTCATGTTCTCTGTGTATATACACATCTTCCTACTGTATTTTCCACTGCATGCATCCGATGAAGTGGGTTTTAGCCCACAAAAGCTTATGCTCAAATATATTTGTTAGTCTCTAAGGTGCCACAAGTACTCCTCGTTCTTTTTGCTGATATAGACTAACATGGCTACCACTCTGAAACCTATCCTAAATCTGTAAGTAAACAGACAAACGTTCACAGATAGCCTTCTGACCCAGAAATAGGCTAGACAGGGTGGAGGGTAACTCACCAGAACACAGTCTATTCCACTTACAACCCAGAATTCATCAGCAATACTGAATTCCCAGAAAGACAAAGAAGAGGATATGATTAAGAACCAGACCCCAGATCACTAACTATAGGGATTAGATCTAGCTTTGTGTGGATCCCGGAAGAGTGGTTAGCGACCCCAAAGAGGCACTGGGCTGAAGTCTTCGTCCATCTCCATGGAGAAAGGGCAAGGGAGGAAGCACCTACATCATGGTTACAGTGGACATGCAGGAAGCCCCACAATGGAAGAAGAAATCAGGCCTCTGAGCAATTGAAACAGATACTTCAAACAGTTTAGTAGGAAATGTGTGCACAGTAAATACAAAAGCTGGGGATGGGTTATCTGCATAGCACCTTGTTTGTGAGATACACGGCCAGCACCTGAAAAAGAAATGTGAAGAGTCATCAGTATTGTACAGTGCCCCTTAATACACATAAACAGAGTGGAGAATACTAGGGAACAACAATATGATCACATGGACTGGGAATAAGCTGCAATCACCAAAACAGGAAACCCTACAAGAACCCATATTACTTAATATAGTTGCTTTTGAATTAGCAGAATGTGTCAATTCAACAGGGGTCTCTATTGATCTCCTTCCAATATTCAACTGTTACAGGAACATTGTCTCCCCATTGAGAATTATGAGCAATGACATCCCAGATGCCCTCTGCCTTTCGCCCTCCTCTGCTAACTGCTGCCTGGTGAATCCTCACAGGCCCTGAACTCAGGGGGACAATAAACTGGAGAATGACGTGGTGATGGAGACTAGAAACCTGACCATTCAGTGACCTTTTTATATGAGGTGGAGGTTCATAGTAGCTAACTTTGGAGGATGAGTTATATCTGCTGAGCACCTTCTCTGAAGGGCAGAGCATCCTTATAACATCAGTGGGAGTTTGAGGACACTCAGCAACTCATAGGATTGGGCAATACAAGTACAAAGGCCCTGGGTGACTAAAGTTAAGCACCAAAATCTGCAGTTAGATGCCTAAATACCCATTATAGCCACCTGCAGAAGTGTTGATTAAGGCACTTAAATCTCTATCAGCACTGAGGTGCCTAAAATAGATATTTGAATTCCCAATTATGGCTTCCAGTGTCTAACTTTAGGCACTCAAGTTTGAAAACTGAGCTTGAGTTAGTCATATTTATCCCCATGACCAGCCCCGACTGAATAAAAATGAGGTGCAGGGTTTAAAAACCAAGGGGAATGATGTTTAAAGGCATATTTGTCCTTTGGTTGACATGAGACAACTTTATGCCAAGTGACTGAAACTTCCAAACCTGAATACCTAAACTTAGACTCCTAACAATCACGTGTAGGTGCATAAATAGGGGAGGGGTTAGTTGTAAAGTCACCTTTTTGCATATAGTGGGCCATGCTGCCCTATGTTGCAGTGGAGCAGGGCAAAGTAGCCATGAAGCTGTCCTAAGAGGGCAGCTAGGAATTCCCCCAGCATGTGCAAATCCCTAACACATGGAGAGCTAGCATACATAGTGTGCAGCCAGTGAAGCTGGCTGTATGTCACCAACTCCTAGCTTCCCTCCCAAGTATATGGGGTGTGAGCTGGAAACAGAAGATGGCACAGACAGAGTGCAGTGTGCTCCAGCAAGCTACAGTGCAGCAATGTCTGTAACAAGACAGCATAATTTAGAACACCCCAGTATCTACAGCTCAGGTGTATTTGAGGATCTGGGCCAGTACTTGGCTGTTACTATAGTAATAACCCTTGAGCAAGCAATATAATAGTACATGCTTATCACTGAGCTTGTCCAGAGGCTGCATGTCCATCAGAATGACTAGATGTTCTGATGTCTAATAATTTGAGTAATAAAATCAAATTTTTACTTTACAGGGCCTGATTCTTCTCTCACTTACAGCATCTGAGCAGTATGACAACGGCAAATACTGGCCAGTATTATAGTTGCCTCTCTCTCCCTCTCTCTTGTTCCAATTTTGGGTAGCGGGAAAGCCTTGTTCTCTTTGTCTCCTTTCCGCTTCATTCCCCAAGCATTCTGCCAGGACAGATGTCACTTAGGACCGGAGTTGCCACCAGCTGGACAGTGGGACTCGGGTCTTTCTGTAGGACCTGGAGAGCTGAAATTACAGAGGACAACGTGTTAGTGAATAGACTGTCAAATCACAGCAAAGAGTAATCACAGAACCTTGAAGTACCTGAGCAGAATGATCACATGCAAAAATGTGAAACTGGTCTCAGTCCTCATACTGGGATGGAAAATAGATGAGAGATGAATATGGCTCACTTTTCATAGTCACCTGTGCCTGAAATAGCTGGAGTCTTATTACCTCTGAATACCATGCTACAGAAGCTCTCCAAGACAAACAAAGCTTTAGGTTCCTCCACTGGGACCCTTCTTCCATGCTCCAAACTGTGGGGAGACCCTGACTCTACCAGAAACTCATCCACTTTGCTGTAAATGGAAGAAGATCCATTGTTTCAATAGCTTCCACTTTTAAGTTATTTTCCATCTCTATTCAGGAGCCGCTGCTTGAGCTCAAATAAACCTGGAATTAAACAGAGGCCAGGTCCAAGCTGGTTTATGCGTGATACAGGGCACCTACTGGAAGAAAATTTGCTGGTGGGAAATTTGGGGTAGCAGAAAGTGGCTACAACTTCTTCTCACCTGGGGAGTCCACAGGGAGCCAATGAAGCCCAAAGAGTGGATAGCATTGGTTGGGGAGGGGGCATTGCCAGGACAGCCAGGAGATCCACTGACTCATATCACACCTGCTGCAGCTTCCTCCTTCAAGGAAAACTAAAGCTGACTTCTCCTGGGCAAGAGTGAATCTGTCCTTTAATGTGTGGCTGATGCACTTTGCACCAGTGGTATCGGTTACTGCTGCTTGTCAGCTAAATTCCTTTATAACTCACTAATGAACAGGACTTCAGCTGTATTTATTACTTACAGATCAACAGTTGTTCTAGGTCCAGCCATTTCATATGCTGGGTGTCCGTGTGTTCCAGGATGATGCCTAAATACACAATGTAAAACAAACAACAACAACAACACCTTCCCTTGCTGAGTGCACGGTGATAATAGCAGCTCCTAGACAGGTCTTTGGCTTCTCCTACTGTGGGCCTAAGGATGAGCTGCGGACAAGAGGATGCTAGAGCAGTTTAGAGTCCACACTGAAGAGAATAAAAGAGACACTTTTTAAAAAGAATGTTTACATAAAACCCATTTGCTTTAAACAGTCTGTGTTCCTCTTGCCACTGCTGTCAGTTATTGGAGACATACTAGGACAGTGTCCTGGTCTAGTGGTCTGAGCAAAGGACTGGGGCCAGGAATAAGTGAGTTCTAAACGGGGATCTCACAAGGTGACTGATAGATGACTTAGGTCACAATGCCTGCCTGTCTCACATGGGTGTGCTACGGAGAAGAGGGCACAGGGCCAAAGAGGAGGAACCTAATGCTTCCTTGACAAGGTGGTGTGGCCAGGAACCTGAAACAGCAGGCACTATGGGGAGGCGGGCTGCATGAATGATGAAGTAGCAGTAAGGAGCACTGAACAATGCTGTCGGTAGGTCTGCACTTTGAGGTAGGGGTATCATTCCCAGCTCAATGGGACACGCCCACACTAGCTCTGACTGAGCTAGCATGCTAAAAATAGAATGTAGCTAAGGCAGCACGAGCAGTGGGAGGAGCTAACCACCTTGAGAATAGACTTTGGGGTTTGGATGGGATCATACTTGGGGTGGTTAGCCCCTCCTGCTGCTCCCGCCATCGTGGCTACTCTCTAATTTTAGCACTCAGGGCTAGTGCAGGTATGTCTCATCAAGCTGGGAATTATACCCGCAGCTCAAAGTGTAAACATACCCTATGTGACAGTTTCTCAGCCTCTACTACTAAATGATTGCACCATGCTTTCCCTGCAACAATCCCGAAGCACTTTATAGCAACCAATGAATTCCTCCTACCACCACGCTGGAGAGGTAGGGATATTAATATCTCCATTTATGCGTGAGAAGCTGAGGCACAGAGAGATTAATGGCAGCTCAGTGATGCACAGTGGGATTTTTTCTGTCTCCTTCAATAGGAATACCAAAAGGGACACTGGGCATCATCTCTCACCAGCTAACTTGGCTACAACTGCCCGGATCTCTTCCCAGCTGCTATAGAAGTACGTGATGGTGGTTTTGTATAAGTTCTCCAGCAGCTCTGCATTCTCTTTGGCTCAGAGGAAATCAGGGACACATGAGCTCTCTCCAGCTAGAAGTGTGCTTTGACGGCCAACACATGCTTTTACGAACCACAGGTAAATAAGAAAAAGAACGGGTGGCTGGATAGAAGTGGGAAAAGTGGGAATCTGTGGCAGATTTACATTTCCCATCACCCTCAGTCATATATCCTACTCTTACGTTACTTACATTACCGATCACACATCCCCCCACACCTCTACACCACAACAAGCCACTGCAGTCAATATCGCATACAGTTCTACAGCTCACTCACGAGGTGTCTGCAAATGTCCACCTGGAGCCCTTCAGGCTTCAGCTCGGCTGTGCCACCAAGGTGCTCATTAACTGCAGCTTGGAGCCTCTTCAGTCCCAAAAACGGGGCACAGAGGTGAAACGTAGCTCTGCATTCCTGAAAAAGAGTGTCGCACCATTTAATTGTTCCCTATCGAGTGCTATGTTCATTCAAATGGAATGAATCTCCTTGACTGCTCATCTAGTCCAGGATAAAAAGGGATTCACCTGGATGTAATTGGCAGAAAACATGCAGGAATGTCTAATATGGGGGAGAGCTTCCACTGAAACCTGGAAGTAGCATCAATGTCTTTTTGGAACAGATATATCTATGAAAGCTGCTTCACCAGGCATAGCTGTGGTCTCTCCTCTGTTCTAGAGAGGCAGGGTGCAGAGAGACAGGAACAGAGACCTGTCGGGGTCAGACCCATGACCTATCCTGGACTCTGGTGAGGCAGCCATAGACCAGTCTGGCTGGAATTGACTCAGTGGGCAGGTAATAAACTGAGGGGAGAATTTGGGCCTCCACAGCAGTCAGGAATAGCAGAGCTCCCCTGGCATTGGGAGGAAGATTCCTTTTCCTTAGTAAATAAGTCACTGTCGGTCTTACCATTGAAACCTCGGGGTTTGGGTCTTGCAGGTGCAGCAGAAGTGTGACCCAGCTCTGTCTAACCTGATCAGTGAAATAGGCCTTCCATTTTCTCTTTGTCAAGTGGGCCAGGATGCCAAATAGGACAAAGGCCAATGAACGAAGAGGCCATCATCCTCCTACAGCCAAGAAAGCCCTGCAAGTTGGTAACTAAGGGACAATCACATCATGCACCTAGCACAGCCATCTCTTCTATGCTAAAGCAGAGTGATTCCAACTACAGCTGGTTGGAAGAACTTGAATTAACCAATTTTTCGTCCAAGTTTGCTGATTCGTCAAAATATTTTAGAGACAGTTCAATTTTGATGAAATTTCTCCAGAAGCCAGGCAGGGATCCTTAGAAACCTGTTTGTTGTCCTGCCAGTGCACCCACCCAGCTCCTTGGCAGATCATGGGCTTCTAGGCCCCCGGCTTCTGAACAGCCTATCTGGCAGGCTGACAGGGAGCCAGGAACTCTGGGAGTCCTGGCTCTCAAATTTGCAACTCCCTGGCACCTCCAGCTCCCAGAGTTTCCCGGGTCCCCAGCTCTGGGATAGTCTGGCAGCAGACTGCCCTGGGCCAAGGCTTCCAGAGGAGCTGGGTTGGGAGTAGTAATTCCATTTCACAAAGAGTTTTGAAATTTGGGGAGGGAGGTTCCCCCAAATAGGAACAAAACCAAAATTTGAAATCTCAAAATTCTCTGCAAAATGGAATTATCATTCCCACCCTCTCAAGTAAAAATGGTATAGAGCAGGCCCAGCACTCTATTGTTCTCTGTAACCCCCTCTTCATGGTTATCTAGCTACCTAATCCAGTATTCAGACTTTCTTTGCCATTCTCTGTGGAAATAAAGATGAACAGAAGGGTGAGACTCTGGGAGCAGGGATGTCATCCCCATCCTCCTAATGCTCTCCTCCTCCGTAAAACACTTCTCTTCCCTGAGGCCTAAAATCTCTTCACTCTGACATGAGCAATGCCCAGGGAGTCATAGAATATAAGGGTTGGAAGGGACCCCTGAAGGTCATCTAGTCCAACCCCTGCTCGAAGCAGGACCAATTCCCAGTTAAATCATCCCAGCCAGGGCTTTGTCAAGCCTGACCTTAAAAACCTCTAAGGAAGGAGATTCTACCACCTCCCTAGGTAACGCATTCCAGTGTTTCACCACCCTCTTAGTGAAAAAGTTTTTCCTAATATCCAATCTAAACCTCCCCCACTGCAACTTGAGACCATTACTCCTCGTTCTGTCATCTGCTACCATTGAGAACAGTCTAGAGCCATCCTCTTTGGAACCCCCTTTCAGGTAGTTGAAAGCAGCTATCAAATCCCCCCTCATTCTTCTCTTCTGCAGGCTAAACAATCCCAGCTCCCTCAGCCTCTCCTCATAAGTCATGTGTTCCAGACCCCTAATCATTTTTGTTGCCCTTCGCTGGACTCTCTCCAATTTATCCACATCCTTCTTGAAGTGTGGGGCCCAAAATTGGACACAGTACTCCAGATGAGGCCTCACCAATGTTGAATAGAGGGGAACGATCACGTCCCTCGATCTGCTCGCTATGCCCCTACTTATACATCCCCAAATGCCATTGGCCTTCTTGGCAACAAGGGCACACTGCTGACTCATATCCAGCTTCTCGTCCACTGTCACCCCTAGGTCCTTTTCCGCAGAACTGCTGCCTAGCCATTCGGTCCCTAGTCTGTAGCTGTGCATTGGGTTCTTCCGTCCTAAGTGCAGGACCCTGCACTTATCCTTATTGAACCTCATCAAATTTCTTTTCACATCACACATTGTAAATGGAGTCTAATCAAGATCAGTTGAACGGGGTTGGAGAGTTCATAAGAACGGCTATACTGGGTCAGACCAAAGGTCCATCAAGCCCAGTATCCTGTCCTCTGACAGTGGCCAATGGCAGGTGCCCCAAAGAGAATGAACAGACAGGTTATCATCAAGTGATCCATGTCCTGTCACCCAATCCCAGCAAACAGAGGCTAGGGACACCATTCCTGCCCATCTTGGCTAATAGCCATTGATGGACCTATCTTCCATGAATCTATCTAGCTCCCTTTTGAACCCCGTTATAGTATTGGCCTTCACAACACCCTCTCACAAGGAGTTCCAGAGGTTGACAGTGTGTTGCGTGAAAAAATACTTTCTTGAGTTTGTTTTAAACCTGCTACCTATTAATTTCATTTGGTGGCCCCTTGTTCTTGTATTATGAGAAGGAGTAAATAACATTTCCTTATTTACTTTCTCTATACCACTCATGATTTTATAGACCTCTATCATATCCCCCCTAGTTGCCTCTTTTCCAAGCTTGAAAAGTCCCAGTCTTATTAATCATTCCTCATACGGAAGCCGTTCTATACCCCTAATCATTTTTGTTGCCCTTTTCTGAACCTTTTCCAATTATCTTTTTTGAGATGGGGCAACCACATCTGCACGCAGTATTCAAGGTGTGGGCGTATCGTGGATTTATATAGAGGCAATATGATATTTTCTGTCTTATTATCTATCCCTTTCTTGATGATTCCCAACATTCTGTTCGCTTTTTTGACTGCTGCTGCACATTGAGTGGATGATTTCAGAGAACTATCCGCAATGACTCAAACATCTCTTTGAGTGGTAACAGCTCATTTAGACCCTATCATTGTATATGTATAGTTAGGATTATTTTTTCCAATGTGCGTTACTTTGCATTTATCAACATTAAATTTCATCTGCCATTTTGTTGCCCAGTCATCTAGTTTTGTGAGATCCTTTTGTAGTCCTTCGTAGTCTGCCTGGGACTTAACTATCTTGAGTAGTTTTGTATCATCTGCAAATTTTGCCACCTCACTGTTTACCCCTTTTTCCAGATCATTTATGAATATGTTAAATAGGACTGGGCCCAGTACAGACCCCTGGGGGACACGACTATTTACCTCTCTCCATTCTGAAAACTGACCATTTATTCCTACCCTCTGTTTCCCATCTTTTAACCAGTTACCAATCCAGTTACCAGTTCTGTTCACATACATTGTCAAAGCAAGTCCAGATCTGTGGGGTGAGGTCTCTGAAGGAAGAAGCTATGTCCTTCTCCGTCAGCTCCTTCAGGACTTTGGCCAGTGCCTTCATGCTCTCACCAATGACTTCAGAACTGAAAGTGTCATTTAAGGCCCTGATCAGTATGTCCAGAAGAAACTTCTTGTGCTTTTTCACCTGTACAAATATATGACATTAAAAACCACTTATCACTGATCACACTTCTAATAAGTTTTCTTTAGCAATTATGAAGCTGTGGGAATTTCATCTACACCCCTGAGACCTATAGCTATATTTCAGACCGGGTGCTAGCTACAATGAGCCAAACTCGGTGCCATATTACACCTGTGTAATCCTATTAGATTCCTAGCTACTTAGATTCCAAGGCCAAAAGGGACCATTGTGATGATCCAGTGAAATAGGCCTTCCATTCCTATTCTCCTGCATAACACAGAACTTCCCCGAAATAGTCTCTATTTGAGCTAGAGTGTATCTTTTAGAAAAACTTCCAAACTTGATTTTAAAATTGCTAGTGACAGAATTCACCATAACCCTTGGTAAACTGTTCCAATGGTTAATTAAAATTACCATTAAAAATGTAAGCTTTATTACCAGTCTGGATTAGTCTAGTTTCATCTTTCCCCATTGAATCTTGTTATATCTTTGTTTGTTAATGTGAAGAGCCCATTATCAAAATTTATTCCCCATGTGCGTAGTTATAGACTGTCCTCAAGCACCCCTTAACCTTCTCTTTGTAAAGCTAAGTAGATTGAGCTCCTTGAGTCTATCACTAAAGGCATATTTTCCAATCCTTTGATAATTCTTGTGACTCTTCTCTGAATCCTCTCTAATTTATCAGCATCCTTCTTGAATTGTGGACACCTGATCTGGTCACAGTATTCCAGCAGTGCTCATATGAGTGCCATATTCAGAGGGAAAATAACTTCCTTACTCTTATTCAAGATCCCTCTGTTTATGCCTCCAAGGATCATCTCAACCCTTTTGGCCACAACTTCATACTGGGAGATTATGTTCAACTGATTATCTACCATGACTTAAGTTTTTTTCAGCATCATTGCTTCCTGGGATAGAGTCTCCCATCCTGTAAGTATGGCCTGCACTCTTTGTTCCTAGATGTATACATCTACATACGGTCATATTAAAGTGCACATTGTTGACTTATGCCCAGTTTACCAAAGGATCCAGCTTGCTCTGTATTGACTGCAAAGAGGTTACTAGGGTGAGAGAGCAGATTTTGGCCTAGTGCATTGTGTGCAGCCTCTGTAAACTCTGAACAACTGTTTTCCTTGGTTTCTCTAGTTATGCTGCATTCTATTCAGTATTCTCTCTTACCGCCTCAAGCACCCCATAGACTAAATTTCCCAGGCCTCTTACAGGCATCTGATGGACAATGCTGTTTCTATCATGTGACCTTTCTTCCAAGATGTGTAAGACAGACTTAAGGAACTTCTTCTCCCTGAGCATTGGATCACTCATTAGCTGAAATAAAATCAACATGTCCGTTAAACCCAATATGTTCATTAAGACTGGGAATATAATTTGAGCAGACATGTAATATACTAAAACAACAAGGAGCCCTCCTACAGCCACAGTCTTGTGGATACAGACTAACATGGCTACCCCTCTGATACTTGGCACATAATACATTGTAACTTTATTATTCCACACAAATGAGAAAAGTCTTAAAAACATGGAGCTTTCCTTTTGGGCACTGTAATAGGGGTCCACTCACCTTCTGAGAGCCTCTTAGTGGCTGGGTATAGTACCACAGTCCTTTTCTCACCCCCGGTGCACCCTGCCAGTCGACCTCAGTGAGTCTTCTGTGGGTCAGCCCTCTGTCCGAGTCCCAAAGTCCAAATGAACCCCTTCTGGGGAAGTAAAGAATAGTCCCATTTCCCTCACTAGGGTCTTCAGCCCCAACTCTGGGCCCTTTAAATCTTGCCCTTTGTTCAAGCTCTCCATAAGAATTGTCCCCTTCGTGGGGCTTTTGCCATGGTGGATGGTAGGGGAACCTGGGCCTGCCCATTACTATGGGTTCCAACCCATGGACCTATAAACAGTAGCTAGGCACTGCTTGATTTCAGTTCACTGTTGCTTCTTCTCCGGGCTTCTTCCTACCAGCCACTTTCACCTCAGGGTTAAAGTTCTTAGGGACTCTTTTCCTGCAAACCAAGCTTAAGCAAATGTTGCCAGAATCAAACTCTGGCTATCCCCTGAATTTCTGTGGCCAGCGAGCAGCACCCCTTCTTGCCCCTCCAGTTCCTGCCAGGAACTGACCTGCTAAGACCCTGCAGCTCCTTTTATCTGAGCCTGATGGGCTCTAATTGGCTGCTTTCACGAGGCCTCTCTAGACAGACCTGGAGGACCCACCTTTGTGGCTCTTTTCCTGGGGCAGGGTGTAGTAGGACCACGGGGCCTCTTGTAAGGCGCCTCAAAGCCCAGGTACAGCCCATCACAGGCACAGATAGATTATTTTTCTGAGAACCAGATGAGCCCCGAAGATAGTTGCTTAGCGTAAGTGGGAAATATGATGCAGATGTTGGAGGAAGGCTGTGGAAAGGGAGGGTGCTCCAGCAGGTATCACACTAGCCTAGGACTTAGGAAACCCAGGTTCAATTTCCTGCTCCCTCAAAGACTTCCTGTGTGACCTTGGGCAAGTCACTTAGCCCTTCTGTGCCTCAGTTCCCTGGCTGTAAAATGGGGATAATAGTGCTTCCCTACCTCACAGGAGTGTTGTGGGGATACATACATTAAAAAGAGTTTTGAGGTATTCAGATACTACAGTAATGAGAACCTAAGATAGATGTTAATGTATTTGTATGTTGCTTGTTTCATAGTATTAGGACACTAGGTTCATTCAGAAGATCTGCTGAGCTAAACCAAAATCAGGAGCTGTTGGTTAGGATCAGCACTAGGACTTGGCAGAAGAGGTCCAGTCATCCAAACTCTGTCTGTATCTCTCTCACTCTGTGTAGCTAGTATAGGCAGTGACAGCGATAAAAATAACACAGAGAGAAGGACTCAGAAAGGTGTAATGAAGTTCCTTGTGAGGTTTCCATATAAAGGAGGATCCATCTTACTATCTAAATGACAATTACTCCTATGAACTGAACAACTCCTGAAAGAAAGGCACACAACAGACAACAGCCTAATGGTGAAACTGCTCTTTAGAGCCCTGTGTCTTACCCGGGCAAGGAAAGCTGTGCTGGTGACTCGGTGGTTTTCTGTTGGGGAATTCACCCAGGGAAGGAGGCTCTGTATGATCTCAGGTGTTATTAGTCCCGATCTTAGCAGAAGACTGGAAGACAAAAGAAACCGCTTTTGGGGTAGATTGCACACTTCGAAAACTCAGCTGCTCTGACCATACAGCGCTGATATCTAGGAGTGGGAGCTGTGTGTTTCCCACCCAGGGCACCCCCCACAAAGCTATAAACTGGAAGTTCCCTCTCAGCCACTCTATCGGTTACTGATCCCCAAGCATGAAATGATGCCTCCTAGATCTCTTACCTCACCAGCAGACACACCCCCTCATGGTGAGTCTTGGGGTTTTCAAGAAGAATCCAAGTTCTCTGCTTCCTGAGTGCTCTCACCAGTCTCTCATTCACACCCTTGAAAAGCACAGAATCTAATGCTTCGATAGAAAGCCTGGGGAAAGAGAGGCACAGAACTGCAGCAATCAGAAGGAAGGTGCAGCCTGAACAGAGTCCGGAAACCCCGGTTACTTGTCAGGTCTGCTGTTCATCGACAGTTCATCCATTGACAATAGCCTGGAGACCAGTGTCCCTGGAAGGACTTGATGCCAGGAGGTAAGTTTCAGTCTCATACATCTCATATGACTAGTTTTGCTAGGGACAACATTTTGCAGTCATTTTTCTCTCTCTGCAAGGAGTATGGGCACTAGCAAAGTACAGTGATATGGAAAAAATACATGATCAGGACCGAAAAACTAGGGGCATAGAGTGTTGTGATCACTAATGGACATTTTGGGTAATATCTCCAGATATGATGTGACAGAGTGCTGTGGGCTTGCACTTGAGTCAGCACTCTGGTCACTATTAGTACTAATTTGGTTCCCCACAGAAGGCCTAATTGGACAGAGGTGTACCCCGATTACCAGGCCAGATTGGGGCTAGTGAGTCAAGGAACCAATTATCCCATTAACAGGGAAACTGTATAAAAGGACACAGGCAGGAGCCCTTTGAGGGGAACAGACAGAGAGAGAAACTAGGGTGACCAGATGTCCCAATATTTGGGGCTTTATCTTATACAGGTGCCTATTACCTCCCACCCCCTGTCCTGATTTTTTACACTTGCTGTCTGGTCACCCTAAGAGAAAAAGAAAGACAAAAAGCTAGGAGAGCCTGAGAAAGTGAGTTCTCTGAGTGGAAACACCATACCCTCCCTCCCCCCACTTTTGGAGAAGAGGTTAGAAAGTTGAGATACAATGTAAAGGTGCTATCTATTGGTAGGGGGATTAAATAGACTACATGTTGGTGTTTACAAGCAAGAAAGTCTCAAAGCGGTCTGTGTTTGTGGAAGACGTGGGGGTGCAACATCCCTCCCTCTCACAGCTGGGGGCTCATCAGGGATTTCCCTATTATCTGTGCTATACCCCTCTGTACCAATATTCCAGTCATGAGATTTATCCCATCAAGTATCTGTGATGCCAGTTAAGCTCAGTTATGACTTATGAACTAAAACTCCCAGTTCTTACTGTTTATTCCCCATTATTATTACTCCTAGCATTTGTGTATCGACTTCTAAGATGTTAAGCAGATGCCCCTATGGATTTCCCTCTTGTTGCTCCTATAACTCTACTGGTTTCAGAGTAGCAGCCGTGTTAGTCTGTATCTGCAAAAAGACAAGGAGGACTCGTGGCACATTAGAGACTAACAAATTTATTTGAGCATAAGCTTTCGTGAGCTACAGCTCACTTCATCGGATGCATCACGAAAGCTTATGCTCAAATAAATTTGTTAGTCTCTAAGGTGCCACAAGTCCTCCTTTTCTGATAACTCTACTGTAATTTTCCACATCTACTTCTCCCCAAATATCTAGTCCTCTATTAAGATCACCTTTTTTTACCTGGTGGCTTTTGTCACTTGCCTCTCTCTGAACTTAGTTTAAAGCCCATCTTATAAGGTTGGTCAGTGCATGAAAATGTTCTTCCCCTTCTTGGTCAGACGGACCCCATCTTTTCCCAGCAAACCTCCTTCCTGCAACAGCATCCCATGGTTAAGGAAGTCAAACTCTCCCATCGACCCATCTTCATAACCCTATTATGTGGACATGCCTACCATTGAGTGTATTGAGCAGAAAGAACACTCAGTGCAGGAAATAAGGGGACTGAGTTAAACCGCAGTTCACATACTTCCATTTTCAATGACTAATACAACTCGCTCTCTTAAGCCAGTGGGGACCGTCAAGGTACAAAAGTATTTCGGTAGATCAGCATGTGATTATTTGTATTGCAGTACTGCCTCATAGTCCCAGTCATAGACCAGGATCCCATTGTACTAGGCTATACAGACACAGAACAAGATGGTCCTTAACTGTCATTAATTAACACCTATTAACAGCACAACAAACAGACAAGAGAATAATAAAGTAAGCAAAAAAGGCCCCTTTGACCAGGTACCAGTATATAACTAATGTAATGCTACATATTTAGGGAACTTTCTCCCTGATTCAGGGTCTGATGTGACTAAGCCTCTGTTCCATACCATTGTGTAAACTGGGAACTTGTACAATTGCACAAGATGGAAAAAGAACAGGAGTACTTGCGGCACCATAGAGACTAACAAATTTATTTGAGCATAAAGTTTTGTGGGCTACAGCCCACATCATCGACTGCATAGAATGGAACATATAGTAAGAAGATATATATATATACATATAGAGAACATGAAAGGTGGAAGTAGCCATACCAACTGTATGAGGCTAATTAATTAAGATGAGCTATTATCAGCAGGAGAAAAAAACTTTTGTACTGATAATCAAGATGGCCCTTTTAGACAGTTGACAAGAAGGTGTGAGGATACTTAACATGGGGAAAATAGATTCAAAATGATTCAAATATATCTTCTTACCGTATGTTTCAGTCTATGCATCCGATGAAGTGGGCTGTAGCCCATGAAAGCTTATGCTCAAATAAATTGGTTAGTCTCTAAGGAGCCACAAGTACTCCTGTTCTTTTTGCGGATACAGACTAACATCGCTGCTACTCTGAAACAAGATGGAAAGTATGCAGTGGCACACAGTTGAGGCCTACTCCATTTTTAGTACATAAACAGGAGACCACTTCCACAAGAAGCTATGGGCATGGTCATCACAGAGAGTTTGCCTGTCTGTGCTGTTATGCACCCCTCACTGTCTACACCTGGCTCCATAAAGTCAGGCCTTTCAAAAATGCAGCATCTTGTAGGAGCACAGGTAATTTTAATAATGCTTGTTCACTGCAGCTAGCCCATAGCAGGTCTTGGGGTTGCAATTCATACACTTGTCTCACTAATGAGGATCAACGGATCAGCCCATACTGAATGCAGCTTTACAACACACCATCACTTAAAACACATTACAGTCAGAGAGGATGATAAATATACCATTTATACACATTATGTACAAGGCCCAAAATGCCTGAGGAAGCAAGAAAACAAATGTGGTAAATGGAGAAAATGCATTACTACAAAAATAGTTAGCAGATTTACTCCTGCTAGCTAAAAGGTTCTCTATAACGTACAGTAAGATATAGGGCTTAACCCAACTCAGTGCTAGGTTGAATTAAAGTCAGTCAAAGTTTTGTCTTAGTAGGGTATGAGACCCAGATCCTTAAGGGTATTTAGACTCCTAACTTCCACTGAAATCGATGGGAGCTAAGAGCCTCAATACCTCTGAGGATCTGAGAAAGGACTGTAGAATTTGACCCAATAACAACAATAATAATAATTTGCGTTTCTAGAGAGATTTTCTTCTTCAAAGCATTTTACAAACATGTTTTCTAACTCTCTGCTTCAAATAAAAGCCATTATTAACAGACAATTATATTTTTCCGTCACAGCACAGACAAATAGGAGAGTGAAGATAACACAATTTATTAAAGGGATTTTAAGCATGTTCTTTCATGGAAAAAAATTAAAGATCCAGCACTCTATAGATGACTCTGCTTAGCTGTGTGCCTTATGGCTTAAAGCAGAATTCCAAGAACATTACTTCGCTTTTTGAAACAGTTTCTCAATAAATGACAATTCAAAATATCTGCTTCCACCTAGTGGTGTGGGTTTGCATAACCTGTGTTATTTATATTCCCTGTTTTAGATATCTTTGCCTACAGGATAAAATACATCAGAATCTACTGAGACAATTCACACTTTTGCACAAAGCTACAACAGCACTAAGAATGTATATATTTGTTAGCAAATAGGATCATTAGGGACAAGGGAAAGGATAATCCCAAGAAGCGGCTCTCTCTTTCTCCTTCACTCTATTCTATATAGGTTCTTATACTATCATCAGTGCAGTATCTGAGCAGCTTCCCCTAGTACATTAATAATATGACTAACATCTGTCATGGTAATATCTTTTATTGGACTAACTTCTGTTGATGAAAGAACTCCACAGAGTTCTTCTTCAGGTCCTTGAAAGATTGTTTCTTTCACCAACAGAAGTTGGTCCAATAGAAGATATTACTTCAGCTGGGGTGACCAGATGTCCTAATTTTATAGGCACAGTCCCAATATTCAGGGTTTAGGTGCCTATTAAACCCCTCCCCTCATCCCGATTTTTCATACTTACTATCTGGTCACCCTATACCTTACCCACCTTGTCTAATATCCTGAGACCGACATGGCTACATCATGATTGCAAATAACATTTGTCATGTCCAGTTCATTCTCTCTCATCCTCTTCTCATGGGGAGAATTGTGTGTGCAGTGGATTGTTTTGTTTTGGTAGGGCTTTGATTTCTGGTTTATTTGGGAGTGAGGTTAAGTGTACACATTGCTCATGTATTTATATTAGAGAAGTCAGGTTGAAGAAATGCACTTTGCACTGGGAAAGGTGGGGAGGTTTGTCATGATTCTTAGTTCCTTTGGGAGTTTGTTCCACTGTCACAGACTGTCCCCGAGAAAGATCTATCTCCTGCACAAACAAACCTCACCCTTATCGTAGAAAACTTCATGGTGCCTGAGAAATAGGACCTGTCAGCCTGGTACTTTAGAGATACTGGGCCCTGGCCATTGAGCACCTTGAAAATAAGGACCGAGACCTGGAACCTAACTTGGTATGTTCATGTTGCAAAGTATGTACACAGCTGCACAGTGCCTGAAGGCAAACAACAAACAAAACTTCAATTACCACTGAATGAGGGGGCCTGTGGAAAAAAAAACAGTGCAATTGTGTAATTAAAGACTGTGTCAAAATGCATGTGCACAGTGTTCAAACTACCTGAATCCTGGCATTTCCTAACTTTCCATTGCTCAATTTTGCACACTTACTAATCGTTATTTTAATGCAGATTTTTATACATTTTTTGGCATATAAATATGAAGAAATACAGACACTGATTCATATCATTTTAGTGCAAACATCCCCAATTCGCTGTTTGTTTGCTTTTAAATAAAAAAGTACAGGACTAGATTCTGGCAATTTCTATATTCAGCTGTAAAGAAAGATATTTTTAAAGGTTTTAAACTGTAGAAACAGAGACACAGGAATTGTCTAACACAGAGAGGAACAGGTGATGTAGTGCACACTTTTCCAAGCCAGCAGAGTTGCTGCACCCCAAGAAATTCCCCCTCTATTCCTGAGTCAGCCTTTGCCAGAAGCAAGCAGACAAAAGGGTAAAAGTAGCTCTCCATTTTAATATAGGCTCTTGTAACTTCCTAGGTAAACTGTTCCCTTTCATTCTTTAGTTGACTACTACTCAGGCTCTTTTCTTACTGGCAAACTTGGAATTTGATTTTTCTACGTCATGGCCCGTCTTTATCACCTCTCTTGTAAACTGAATATGTCAATCCCTGTGAGGACATACTTTCTTGTTTTTTCCCGATTCAGAAATCATAGCTCTGGGGATTGAGCTCCCATTTAAGATACCTTTAAAGATGACCCCCTCCCCACCCAGTCCTTTATTTCATCTATCAGAATGTTCAAAGAGAACAGCTATAGTTAGGGTGACCAGATAGCAAGTATGAAAAATTGGGACAGAGTATGGGGGGTAACAGGCACCTATATAAGAAAAATCCCCAAGTATCGGGACTGTCCCTATAAAGTCAGGACATCTGGTCACCTTAGCTACACTTCACTGAATGCCACTGCTCTGACTTTGGATTCCCTCGTAGAATGTGTGGCACTGGGGTAGCTGTCTCAGCTGGATCCTTAACCCAGAGGAAAGTCGCTATGTCCTGTTAAATCAAGATCGGGAATGGCACATAGATTTGGGATAAAAAGTATATTTTACTTTGACTCTGTTTTCTTATTTCTCAAAAGGAACAGTACAATAAAGATAAAACCATTGTGAATAAACAATCTAGATATTGATGCATCTTGTATGAAATGGGACAGCTGCTCTTCGACTATAGGGATGGATGCCATATCAATAGATAAGATAAAAAGACAGGCCTGACTGAGAGATTGAACCCATATTAGGGCCAAATTCTGCTCCTCAGTTACATGAATATGTCACCCACTGACTAGGGCCCAAATCTGTGTAAACAAGAGTAAACCTGGTCCCAAGGGAGCATAAAACAACTTGCAATTGTTTTTATTTTCTGTCTTCCAGCAGATGGTGTTGCAAGTCAATAGTATTGTTCATGCTGTAGCTGTATTACATTTCCTTGACTTTGGCTTGCTCTAAGATAATTTTATATTTGTTATCAGAGTCAAACCCTGAGCTAATGTAAATCACATCGTTTCATTAAAGTCAAGAAACTTTGCCAATTTACCCCACCTGAGAATCTGATCTTTGCAGTTTAATACTAATTAAGCCCCTTCTATATTTATAAGGGAATCATTTTCCTCAAATGGTTTTAAATCTGATGTCAAATCATTTCAAGTTTAAATGTGTTTAACAAAAATTAACTGGTTCAAGTTAACATACCTGGGGGGCCAGATATGTTAAAACTGTTTAAGACGGGTGGTTGAGTCTAAATTTTAAAGATATTTCCAAATACGGACCACAGTTCAGGAAAGCAGCCCTATTCACCATAGCATATGAATGATGTAAGCAAGTTCTTAAAATTTGGATCTTGGCTCATGGCCATAA